AGTTCCAAATTCAGATACAAAAAGTGAGTCTGGGTAGCTAAGTAATTGCCGTGGTTCCCAAAGCTGGCGAGTGGCAAGTGCCCTACATAAATGGAACCCATCCCCAGCAATTCCACTCTCAGATATGTAGAATCCAGTAATGAGCACAAGAGCTCACCAAACTATGAAGGCAGGGTGCTCATATAATAGCCAGGCTGGACACAATCCACACACCCTTGGGGAGTATGGGTAAACTGGGGGGAAAGTCATAGGAAGAATACTAGGCAGTTTCGTCTACTTCAAAATTGAAGAAAAATTTTAAATATCCTCACCACCAAAAAAAAAAAAAAGGATAAACATAAGTATGTGACGTAATAGATGTTAGTTTGATTTAATCATTCCACAATATGTACATACATCAGAGCATCACATCACACCCCTTGAATATTTACAATTATTGTCAAAAACAAAACAGATACCAAAGAATGTACAAACTACCTAGATAACTTGGCTGAACCTCACATCATGTGAAATTCAGTTCACACACACTTAAGAAAAAGAAATCTACAGTGTTGGAATCAGGATGGTGGTTACCCCTGGTGGGTGGGGAGAGGGTCCCTAGGCGCTGGTCCAGTTCTGGGGTTTGGTCTGGGAACCGTTACATGAGTCTGTTCACTTTGTGAACCTTTACCTGCACCCACTTGGAGTTGGTACTGTTTTCAGTATGTATGTTGCACTTCCACAGAAAGTTTTTGAAAACTGAACCTTTAATGCTTATGTTTTCCTGCCTCACCACACTCCTGCATGGTTGGTAACTATGACATTAGTGATGACACAGAACAGGGCCCACTGGGGTGCTGGCCTTGAGGTCCAAGACTGGGCTCAAGTCCTGACTTGCCATATTCTAGTACCTGCCCTTCAAGGCAGGTACTAGAATTTAATATCTAGAATATTTAGAACTTATTTTATGATTTATCTGAAATTATTTTATGATTTATCTGCATTTATCTGAGCATCAAGTGTGTGTCACTGTTCTCTCGAATCCCTTCAACAGCTCTGAAAATTTAGGGATTCTCCATTTTATAGCAGAGGACCCAAGGACTAATGCAGTGAAGAGACACACAATTAGTAATAGCCACACTGGGATTCACACCCAGGTCTATGGGAACCAGAGTCAGAGCTCTATCTGGGGCTACCAGGAGGAGCAAGGAGGGTGCCAGAGGCTAGGACCCCTGCTTTTGTCAGGTGCCTCCAGCCCTAGGAACAACCAAGACACAGCATAGTCACAATGGCTTTGGATTCCAGAATCCTTTATCCCACTTGTTTCTAGCAAAGTTCTAGAAACCCCCAAGGTTCCTAAGATCCTCCCCCACCTGTTTGAGCCCAGGACACATCCTGCATTTTCCTCAGGGTTTTATAGTAGACACAAGTCTCTCTTCTGTATCAGCTAGTTATTGTGACAATAATGCCAAGTAACAAAACCGTCCCAATATACAATCTTTTAAAACAATATTCTTATCATGTATCATTCGGGGTCTGGCTAATCTAAGTCCCCAAAAACAAGCAGAGAAAAATAATAATAAACACAGGATATTGAATATTTGTGTAACATAGCATGAACAAATGACCTAACCTAGAAAAAAGGGGATACTTCCCTAGCTTTTTAATTTTTAAAAAAATTTCTTTTATGCATTCTTTTCAGATGCATAAAAGAAATTTAAAATATTGATCATATGCTCGACCATTAAGCAAGTCAACAAATTTTAGATTGGGATCTAAACAGACCATGTCTCCTGACTATAGTAGAATTAAGTTAAAAATTAACAACAATAAATAACAAAGCCTTCTCCACCACTTTGGTCCTGGCTGCCCTGGGACTTTCTCTGCCCCATTGGCAGGACAGAACCATTACTGAGCACTGACTGTGTACTAGGCTTGTGCTGATGCTGGCTGAGCAGGGTGCAGGGGCTCTCATGAAGAAGACGGACATCCTTCCAATTACCCCTTCCCAAGGGGCATGTGACTCAGGCTTGCCCATCCTTGGTAGAGACCATTACATAACTTTCACCTGCACACCTGCAGGTCGGCACCAGTTAATACACAAGTCATACCTTATTCCTGACTAGGTGAGACCACTAGTCTTAGCAATGAAAAGTTTGATTCCCAACTCAGTGAAACTCAATTTTAGTTGCTTTCAAACACACCTGGCTAAAGGTGAAAACCCCAAACTCAACCTAGAGGAGCTTAAAACAACACTGCTATCATCTCTAGAGACAATAAAACAGATCAGACTCGCTCTGGGGACCCCTGAGAAAGTGGCTCACTCTCTCAAGCGACTCCTGGTCTACCTGTCTGGGAAGCGTTTCCCTATGAACCAGCTTCCTGTGTCCCTTAACTATTTCTGCTGTTCTAGATATTACAAGCGGGAGATTTCTTTTCCTTCCAAACATAGAATTCACAATTGATTTCCAGAAATGGACTTGACATCAAGTAACAGTCACCTCTCCCATTAACAGAAGTGTTAAAGCAAAGACCAGAAAACTCTTGGTAAGAACGCTGAAGAGGGGGCCTAAAATTCAGGAAAAGTTTTCAAGGGCTTTCCATGGCCTGTTTAATCTCCTGCTGCAAGGCCACCAGTGGACACCAGGTGGCCTCAGAGAGTCACCATCGAGGCATAGCCTAATCTACCAGCATGTAGCTCTTCCTGCAAATATTGAAAACGGAATGGAAGCAAAGCATAAACTATTCTGTCCCACCAGTTGACTTCTGATTGCCAAAAGAATCAAAAGTAGCATCTTGACCACATTTGTGCACTCATATTCATAGCAGTGTTACATTGGCCAAAATATTGAACCAGCCCAAGGGCCATTGACACAGATCAACCAATAAACAAGAATGTGATATATCCATTCAATGGAATAAGATTCGGCCTTCAGTTAGGTACGATGGCCCATGCCTATAATCCCAGGGGTTCGGAAGGTGGAGGCAGGAGGATTGAGAGTTCAAAGCCAGCCTCAGCAAAAGCAAGGCACTAAGCAATTCAGCGAGACCGTCTCTAAATAAAATACAAAATAGGGCTGGGGATGTGTCTCAATGGTTGAGCGCCCCTGGGTTCAATCCCCAGTACCAAAACCAAAAACAACAACAACAAAAAACTCAGCCTTCAAAGGAAGAAAGTTCGTGTGTGTGTGTGTGTATTTAGTTATTTATTTATGGACAGAATACTTTTATTTATCTTTATGTGGTGCTGAGGATTGAACTCAGTGCCTCACCAGTGCTAGGCGAGTGCTCCACCACTGAGCCACAAACCTGGCCCAAGGAAGAAAATTCTGACACATGCTATCACAGGAATGAATCTGGAGGACATTGCTAAGTGAAATAAGCCGGTCACTAAAGGATAAATTCTATGCAATTCCATGTACATGAGGTCCTTATAATAGTCAAACTCAGACCACTGTCATGTATTTTAAAAATAAAATCAATTAAAAATATAGTCAAACTCAGAGACAGGAAGTGGAATGGTGGTTACCAGGGGCTAAGGGAAGATGGAGCAGGCATACTTTGTTTAGATGGGTACAGTTTCAATTTTGCAAAATGAAAATGGTCTGGAGATTGGTTGCCCTGAGTTCTGCTGAACTAGACTTATTAAAGAGTACAATGGAAGCCAGGTATGGTCACACACTCCAGTATGGTCCCACACTCCTACTAAGGAAGCTGAGGCAGGAGTATCAAAAGTTCAAGGCCAGTCAGGGCAACTCACTGAGACCCTGTCTCAGAATAAAGACCTTAAGAAGGGTTAGTAGCTCAGGTGTAGAGCACTTGCCTCACATGTACAAGGCCCTAGGTTCAATCCCCAGTATTAAGAAAAAAAAATTTTTTTTATTGTGTTTTAAAATTTTTTTGATATGTGTTTTCACCACAATTAACAGAACCAGGCACAGTCATGCATGCCTGTAATCCCTCCAGAGGCTGCGGCAAGGATTGCAAATTCAGAGTCAGCCTCAGCCACTTAGCAAAGCCCTAAGCAACTTAATGAGATCCAGTCTCAAAATTAAAAAAATAAATAAATAAAAAGGGCTACGGATGTGGTTCGGTGGTTAAGCCCCACTGTTTCAATCCCCAGTAGTAAAAAAAGAGGAAGAAGAAAATAGAACATAAAAACTGAGCCCAGCCTGCAGAAGGGATGGGAGCACATTGGCTCAGTGGTTCACCAAGTGCCATGCCCAGCTTGCACCACCTACAAGCTTCTCAGAAATGCAGCATCTCAGGCCACCTGAGACCTGAGTCTTGGGGCCTGAGTCGTAGGCTGCATTCGACCAAGGTCTAAAGTCATCCATCTGCACAATTCAGTATCTCATTAGCCCTTAGTTGTTGTTCCCTCTGAGGAAAACAGGCATGGAGGTTGAGAGGAAGCTTCTCCATTTCGATTTATATATTTATGAATATCATTTAAATTCTATGTAAGTTTTTCTATAATTAAAAAAAGACAAATAGGGCTGGGGATGTGGCTCAAGCGGTAGCGCGCT